CGGCTCTTAGGTTATTGCATAAAAAAGGAGGACAAGATGCTGGTCTATGAATACATGCCTAACAAAAGCTTGGATGCTTTACTTTTTGGTAGTTTCCACTCCCTTCCTATCTAAGTATGTAAAATCATGTTTGTTTTTCCTCTCTACCTAACAAATTATCATATAAAACATTTCAGCAAGCACAAGTAGGAAACTTCAGTTGGACTGGAAGACAAGATACAACATAATTGAAGGCATTGCTCGTGGTATGGTCTACCTCCATCGCGACTCAAGACTACGAATAATTCATCGTGATCTAAAAGCAAGCAACATCTTGCTTGATGAGAATATGAATCCAAAAATATCAGACTTTGGAATGGCGAGGATCTTTGGCAGCGACGACAATGAAACCAGCACGAAGCGAGTGGTTGGAACATAGTAAGCTGTTGACATTAGCAAATGCTGCTTCCTTTTATGCACATCAAATTTACTAATGAAATATCTTCTATGTGAATTCAGCGGTTATATGTCACCAGAATATGCAATGAATGGCTTGTTCTCAGTAAAGTCTGATGTGTATAGCTTTGGAGTACTGCTTATAGAGATTGTCAGTGGGATAAGGAACTCCACATACTACAACTCTGAAGTTTCACTCAACCTGCTAGGATATGTAAGTAAAGCTACAGAGTTTTGATATTAAACAATTTCTTCGTTTGAATTAACAAAAGAAACATAATTGCGTTGTTGTATAGGCTTGGAAGCTATGGAACGAGGACAATGTGATGGAGCTGGTGGATTCATCTATAAGGAGTTCAAGCTCGATAATGGAGGTATCAAAATGCGTCAATGTTGGGCTATTGTGCATTCAGGATCGTGCCAATGACAGGCCGACGATGTCATCTGTGATTTTGATGCTGGAGAGTCAGAGCTCTGCTCATCCAATGCCGAGGCAGCCTAAATTTGCAGCAGAGATGAACAAAACCGATACCAATTCGCACTCTGGAAATGCTTCTATTACAATGTTAATTGGGAGGTAGTCGCTTCATTTTTTGTACAAAAGGTGAGTTGTTTGCTCTGTGTTTGATGTGTGCACTCAGCATCAAAAAGTTCGTCCTTGTATGTATTTTGTATGCATTTCTTTGGTTGTTAAAACTCGCAACTTTGGGAGAGATTATTACGTGCTGTGCAGAGTCTGGATATGTTCGGAGGTCAATTAGGACGCGCCACGTCATTCAATGCACAATATATTTGATAATCATTTAATCATCAAATTAATATAGACAATGACTAATACCATTCCAATCTTCACTGAATCACATTTTATTGAAGAGGGATCATTTAATCATATAAACATGTTAAATTTGAGAATCATTTAATCATCAAATTAATATCATGAGATTTTCAATTATGCTTCAGGCCCATGATTTAGGCTCATTCTAACTTAGATTGAACTATGTTTGGTGTTGTTGCGTCATCTCATCAAAATGTTCAGTTTGATATCTGAATTCAAATGATTCATAATTTAATTTTGAAATTTTTGAATTGAAATAAGCATCAAGATTTGTGCTTGGTCAAGATCATTTTTGGTGTTCCAATTTTCAAGTTTATCCAAGGTTCTGAAAATCGGACCAGGCTACTAACCGGAAGAAGGAGAGGTTCAGGATTCAACTGGTCGAACCGGGGTCGAACCGGATGACGTGATAAATAATAATATTATTAAAAGTAATAAAATTAACATAATAATAATGATTATTTAATCTTAAAAATTTTGTATATACAATTTGCTCATATATATATATATTATTTTTTATTTTTTTCCGGCCTTTCTTTATAGTCCTAAGAAAAATCCTCAAATAAAATATAATTTTTATTTTTGTTATGTATTAATAATCTATTTATTTTAATTTTATACAACTTTATTTATTATTTTTAAAGAATTTCAACTTTATTTATTTAAATTTTAAAGACGATGTATAATGATAACAGGCAAAAAAAATGAATAAAGCTGTTACCAAGTAGAATTTTATTTATGTTCTTTCTTTAGGATTATCGAAAAAAAAAATGCCACTAAAAATACTCATATAAATGGGCAAAAAAGAGTCAATTGTCCTTTAAAATACATAAAAATAATACAATAAATATTAAAATTAAGTTTTATTTCCGTTTTTTTCTTTAATTTAATTTTCATTTAATTTCATAAAAATGAAACCCTCAAGAAAAACCTTAAATAAATTTAATTTTAATATTTCTTAAGTATTTTTTTTAGTTTTAAAAACTTTTATTCAAACTTTTCCTTAAAATTATTAAAAAAAAAGCCAGCACAAAAAAATCTGTCATTTAACCAGCAACTTACTTGCCACGTCAGTGACCAATCCCCCTTAATTGGACGATTATTACTATTTTTAAAAAATAAATTTTTAAACGAAATAATTTAGATCAAATAGTCACCGAAGTTGCAAGTTTTAACAACGAAATAATTGTATACAAAATATATGCAAGGACAAACTTTTCGCTCCTGAGTGCACCACAGCACACAGAGCAAAAAGAACTACCTCCCAGTTAACATTGTAATAGAAGCATTTCCAGATTGTCCAATCCTCGGATCGAACGACTGCGAATTGGTCTCTGTTTGTTTCATCTCTGCTGCAAATTTAGGCTGCCTCGGCATTGGATGAACAGAGCTCTGACTCTCCAGCATCAGAATCACAGATGACATCGTCGGCCTGTCATTCGCACGATCCTGAATGCACAATAGCCCAACATTGACGCATTTTGATACCTCCGTTATCGAGCTTGAACTTCTTATAGATGAATCCACCAGCTCCATCACATTGTCCTCGTTCCATAGCTTCCAAGCCTAGTTTTGGTCTTGTAGTTGTTAATTCAAACAAAGAAACTGTTTAATATCAAAACTCTGTAGCTTTACTTACATATCCTAGCAGGTTGAGCGACACTTCAGAGTTATAGTATGTGGAGTTCCTTATCCCACTGACAATCTCTATAAGCAGTATTCCAAAGCTATACACATCAGACTTTACTGAGAACAAGCCATTCATTGCATATTCTGGTGACATGTAACCGCTGAATTCACGTAAAAGATCCTTCATTAGTAAGTTTAATGAGCATAAAAGAAAGCTGCATTTGCTAATGTCAACAACTTACTATGTTCCAACCACTCGCTTCGTGCTGGTTTCATTACCGTCGCTACCAAAGATCCTCGCCATTCCAAAGTCTGATATTTTTGGATTCATATTCTCATCGAGTAAGATGTTGCTTGCTTTTAGATCACGATGTATGATTCGTAATCTCGAGTCGCGATGGAGGTAGACCAGACCACGAGCAATTCCTTCAATTATGGTGTATCTTGTCTTCCAGTCCAACTGAAGTTTCCTACTTGTGTTTACTGAAATGTTTTATATGATAATTTGTTAGGTAGAGAGGAAAAACAAACATGATTTTACATACTTTAGATAGGAAGGGAGTGGAAACTACCAAAAAGTAATGCATCTAAGCTTTTGTTAGGCATGTATTCATAGACCAACATCTTGTCCTCCTTTTTGATGCAATAACCTAAGAGCCTGACTAGATTCCTGTGCTGCAATTTTGCGATTAGTATGACCTCATTCTTGAATTCCTCCATGCCTTGACCAGAACTCCTAGAAAGTCTTTTTACTGCTATCTCTTCCCCATTAGACAGTATGCCCTACAAAGTTATAAGAAAATACTTATTTTCATGAGAATGGTTCTTGAAACTATGTTGGAAGGGTTAATTTGATCACTTTGCTCTTTGTTTTTGAAGATGAAGGACCCCCCGCACCCTTTTAGGGAGCACGAGAAATATACTTGAGGTCCAAAATAACAGTACAATCGTAGATTCCACACAAACTAACAAATCTATGATGGTGGTGAAGGGATTGAGCCAATAAGGTTTTGATAGCGCCTCCTTCTGCAGGATCGACACCCTGGAGCAAAACAGAAAATGAAATGGCAAAAACAGAGCAGAAATGGGAGGAAGAAGAATACCTCTGTATTCTCAGCTTTCTATTACTTTGTGTAAAAATGCCAACTGGTTACTGAGTCCGTTTTCTAGGCTATATGTATTTACCTATCATTTTCTCTATTACTATATGTGGGGTAAAAATAAAAAGCTGTATTGTAAAGTAATAATAGAAAATAGGGAAAGTAGTAGTGGTAAGTGTGGTTTGTTAGAGCATATCTGGTGTCCCGCCGGTACACAGTAAGCAGACGTTGCATCAGTCCTCCCCGGCTTCCTCAGAGCTCGACTCTGACGAGCTGATTGAAATAATGGCGTCGTCTGCGGGCTTATATGGTGATATATCGGACACATTGAATGTCGCTGAGGTATTACTGTCCGGTGGTAACTCGACGCGGTAGGCATTGTCATTGATTTTGGCAACTATGGGAACAGGACCAAGCTTGCGCCGTGCTAACTAGGAATAAGTTCCAACCGGAAAACGTTCACGTCTGAGGCGAACCATCACCAAGTCGCCCACCTGGAAGACTTGTTCGCGTCGGCGGGTGTCCGCAGCCTTCTTGTAGCGAAGGTTAGAATCAATAAGTTGCCGTCGAATATCCTGCAACATGCTGGAGTAATCTTCTGTGAACTTAGTGGCTGCAGTGGATGTCCCTTTAGGGAGAATGGAAATGTCGATAGCTGTGTTGGGGGTCTTCGTGTATACGATCTCAAAAGGGGCCTTGCCTGTGGAACGGTTGATCATCGCATTATACGCGAATTCTGCCCTTGACAGTACATCCTCCCACTGCTTTGGCTGCTCTTGAACTAAACACCTCAGCATGTTACCTAGTGTTCTGTTCACTACCTCCGTCTGCCCGTCGGATTGGGGGTGATAGGCGGAGCTGAATCGCAATTCAGTGCCTAGCCGCTTCCACACTTCACGCCAAAAATGGCTGACGAACTTCACATCTCGATCTGAAGTAATACTTCTTGGGAGACCATGTAAACGAACAACTTCGTTAAAGAAAAGATTAGCAACATTCATAGCGTTGGAAGTTTTTTTACATGAAATGAAATGACTCATTTTGGAAAACCTGTCGACGACTACCATAATGGAGTCGTTGCCTCGCCGTGTTCTCGGTAAACCAAGGACGAAATCCATGCTTAAATCCTTTCATATGGAGTTAGGCACCGGTAGTGGCATGTATAAGCTAGTATTCTGAGCTCCCCCTTTGTAGGTTTGACAAATTGTGCAACTATCGACAAGGCGAATGGTATCACGGCGTATCCTTGGCCAGAAAAATCGAGCTTGAACCTGATGAAGAGTGTTGTCCCGACCTAGATGCGCAGCCAAACCTCCGCCGTGCACCTCTCTAATAAGGTGCAATCTCCATGAAGAAATCGGAACACACAGTAGATTCAGTTTGAATAGAAATCCATGAATCAGGGAATATCCTGTAGGGGGTGAGGCATCCTGGCATTGCTTCCATATAGAGCCGAATTCGGCATCCTCTTCATACAGTTCCTTAATGTGTTCTAAGCCCACAAGCTCCGTTTGCATCTGTGTAAGCAATACCGCCTTCCTACTGAGTGCATCAGCCACTTTGTTTTCAACTCCAGGTTTGTGTCGTATGGTGAACGAGAATCGTTGTAGGAATACAAGCCACCTCGCATGCATTCTATTGATGTTCTTCTGAGTGTTTATATATTGCAATGCACGATTGTCACTGCAAAGTATAAAATCCTGATATAACAAGTAGGTTTCCCACTATTTGAGTGCACGAACTATGGTGTATAATTCTTGTTCATATGCCGCCCACTTCTGGCGTGCTGGGCTGAGTTTTTCACTAAAGAAGGCCACTGGACGACCCGACTGGGAGAGTACTGCACCGATGCCAATAGAGGAAGCATCTGTATCCACTGCGAAGGGCTGGTCGAAGCTGGGAAGTATCAAAACTGGAGCGGAAGTGAGAGCTTCTTTGATGTGTTCAAAACTCTGTTGTTGTGCCGCTTCCCATTGAAACGATTTGAATTTTAGACACTCGGTAATGGGAGCCATAATAAGGCTGAAGTGTCGAATGAATCGCCTATAAAAATTGGCCAAGCCGTGGAAACTTCTCACCTCGAAGAAGGATTTGGGTACGGGCCAGTCATGGATCGCTGAGACCTTAAGTTTGATCCATTTGGATTCCATCTTCAGAAATGACAAATCCCAAGAATTTAACCTTGGGAGTGAGCAGCTCACATTTAGCCAAATTCACACAAAGTTTCTGTTCCCTTAATACATCAAACAGAGCTTGTAAATGTTGCATGTGTAGGGTCTGATCCAAGCTATATACCAGGATATCATCGAAATAAACGATGCAAAAACGGCCCAAGAAAGGTTTTAGTATCTCGTTCATCATCCTCATGAATGTCGACGGTGCATTGCATAGCCCGAATGGCATAACTTACCAGTCGTACAGCCCTTGAGGCGTTTTAAACGCTGTTTTAAATTCATCACCCGGTCTGATACGGATCTGATGATAACCGCTACGCAAGTCTAATTTGGAGAACACTACCGAACCCGATAGCTGGCCTAGAAGTTCGTCAATGCGTGGCATGGGAAATCTGTACTTCATTGTGATTTTATTGACTGCGCGGCTGTCGATACACATACGCCACTGTCCATCTTTCTTAGGGACTAGCAATGCCGGCACTGCACAAGGGATGAGGCTCACTTGAATGAGTTGTTTACTCAATAAGTCATCAACCAATTCTTGCAGGATCTTCTGCTCCTTGGGGTTGAGACGATAGTGTGGCAAGTTCGGTAAAACGGCTCCCGGCGTGAAATAAATTTGGTGTTGGATACTCCTCAATGGGGGTAGCTCTGCAGGTAGCTCTTCAGGCACGACATCACTGTACTGGGACACGAGTTCAGAAACTTCAGACGGTAGCTTCTGCGGACCATGAATTGGATTGGGCTCTGTGAGAAGGACTGCAAACATGGGTGCCTGAGCTTGCCATTCACGTATAAGACTGTTTCCTGAGACAACATGTATGGCGGCAGTTTTGGAACTGTCTCTGGCCTTCGGAGGTGAGGCGCAGAGCCCTGCATTGGGTGCCCATACCCACACCCACCCACGTACCAACCCATACCCAATGGGCATGGGTGGGTATGGGTATGTACATGGCCTTTTGGGTGGGTATGGGTGGGTACTCAACATCAGGGGACAAATTGATTTACATTACTATTCATCATATGCATGCATTATATTACAGTAATCCTTACTACGTAGTCGGTAGCTTCTGCGGACCACGAATGGGATTGGGCTCTGTGAGAAGGAGTGCAAACATGGGTGCCTGCGCTTGCCAGTCACGTATAAGACTGTTTCCTGAGACAACATGTATGGCGGCAGCTTTGGAACTGTCTCTGGCCTTCGGAGGTAAGGCGGGTAGGCTTGGCAGTAAGCGTAATTTCCGTCCCTTCCAATCCAAGGAATAAACATTGGCTCAACCGTCGTAATGAACTCCCACATCAAATTGCCAAGGCCTTCCTAAAATCACGTGGCAGACGTCCATTTCTAAGACATCGCAAAGGACTTCACATGAGTAATGCTTGCCAATCGAGAACTGCACACGGCATGAATCAGTGACTAGGATCTCTAAACCCCTCTTGACCCAACTGATTTTGTAAGGCTGAGTGAGCTTGGTGGTCTTCAATTGGAGCCCCTAAACAACCGCTTTGGATACGATGTTCTCTGTACATCCACTGTCTATAATCAGGTCACACACTTTGCCATTAATCGTGCACCTAGTCTTGAAGATCGCATGTCGCTGCGACATATTCGTTTGTCGTGGTGCTAAGAGCAACCTTCCCATGACACCAATGAACGGTTCCCCTTCATCAGCTGGAACCTCCTCCTCAATTTCAATTCTCTCCGTCTCAAAATCCTCCTGATCCTCTTCTTCTTCAGGTTCCACCACATTAACTTGCTGTCTTTGGGGACACTCATTGGACTTGTGTCCGGGTTGGAAACAACGGAAGCATTTCACAGTTGAAGGTCTAGCATACGGATTGGCATTACTATTAATTTTCTGCTTGGTTACATTTCTTCCGTCTGGTGCAGCACCCGAAGGTCCGACATTGGGAAGACTTGGCTGTCCAGTGAATGCGGGTTTCGGTGTAGCTGGAAGATGGCCTTTGCTAGTTACTGGAGAAGGCTCTTGCCAATGTCGTCTGGAATATGGAGCTCTAGCTTTGCGGTTCAGCTGCATTTCAACTTTCAAGGCTAAATTAACTGCCTGAGGCATTGACCATACAAAATTAAGTTCCAATTGATCCTGTATATCATCTCGGAGGCCCCCTATGTATCGAGCTACCAACTGATTGGCGGACTCGTTGAGATCGTTCCTCGCACTTAGCCTATTAAATTCTTCGGTGTACTCACTCACCGACCGTGTGCCTTGGCTGCAGTGTTGGTATCTCATATATAAAATCTGTTCGTAGTCAGTAGGAAGGAATTGCGATCGCAATAGCTGCTTCATTCTAGCCCATGATCGGACCTGACTTCGGCCTTCCCGTCGCCTTGATTGCACTGTTTGCTCCCACCAAGCACTAGCTCCTCCTTTCAAACGACACGCCACGTATTGAACTTGCTTAGTCGGATTGATGTCCAAGTATTCAAAAAAATTCTCTGCTGCCTTTTCCCAATCAAGGAAATCTTCAATATGGAGATGCCCATCAAAGAAGGGAATATCCATTTTCACCTTAAATTCACCAGGATGATGTCGGTATTGTGGGTTTCGCGGTCCTTGAAACGGATTTGCTCTGTATCGATCATCTACTTCTTCTCCACTGGAGTAAATTTGAGGATCGCCCCTTACTGGAATGTGTTCTTCTTCTGAATCAGACGGACCCATCGGTTCAGCGCGGAGTAGTCGTCCTTGCCGATCATCGTCGCCTCTTCTCCGGGGAATGGCTCGATGTGCTCGTGCCTCTTCCCGGTATCGGTCCTGGTACACTGGTCTCGCACGAAGGAGATTGAACTCCCGGCGAATGTCCACTGCCAGTTTCTGCACTTCGGCAGCAACCTCGTCAATCCTCCGATTGGCGTTCTCTTGATTTGCCCACAGCATATCAATCGTTCGGGTTCCCTCCGCCGTTTTTGTTTTTTTTTTTTTTTTTTTTTTGTTTTTTTGACCTTGGTTATAAAGATGTTAAACAGGTCATGTCAGCTTCCATTTAACTAGTCTAAGTCTACTGCTTACTTGTACTCTGTTGATAGTGGCGTTTTCTATCATAAGTGTAGGAGTTTTCTCCCTTCCGGGGTGGTGAGACAGAGGCACTAAAGAGGTTGAAGGAAAATTTGGTTAATAAGGTATGAGAACGATCATATGGATGGTGCCTAGTAAAAGTTGTATTTACTTATTTTTATTCAACATTTGACTTCAAATATAAGACTACACTTGTAAGTAGTAGACAAGTGTTTGGATTAAGCCTGTCCAAATAGTTACGATAATGAGACAACTTTTCTAGATCACATAAGTGCTGAAGTGGTGCCAATTTTAAGTATTCGAATGTGTAATTGACAGCAAATTAGATGCATCAATTAAGTAGATAGATACAACTTATTTCAAACGAAAAGGAAGAAATACTTATTTCAAATAGCCTAATGTTAGCACATATGCAATGCTGCACAATAATAATGAAAAGATGCTTTAAAGATGACACCAAATAGGTACAATAAGCTTAATGATGATCATGATGATGTGAGAGACTTCGTGGAAGGCTGATAGCGCCTCCTTCTGCAGGATCGACACCCTGGAGCAAAACAGAAAACCGAAATGGCAAAAACAGAGCAGAAAGGGGAGGAAGAAGAATACCTCTGTATTCTCAGCTTCTATTACTTTGTGTAAAAATGCCAACTGATTACTGAGTCAGTTTTCTAGGCTATATGTATTTACCTATCATTTTCTCTATTACTATATGTGAGGTAAAAATAAAAAGCTGTGCTGTAAAGTAATAACAGAAAATAGGGAAAGTAGTAGTGGTAAGTGTGGTTTGTTAGAGCATATCTGGTGTCCCGCCGGTACACAGTAAGCAGACGTTGCATCAGGTTTCAAGGTCATGAAAGTGTGAGCTGCCACTCTCCGTTTGTATCAGTTATTTACAGTAGTGAATACTTCTCCTTTGTCCGTTGTTTTTTACACGTCTAGGTTTTTCCCCATTAATCTAGGCATTTCTTGCTTCATATTTTGTTGTCTATTATTCGATAATATTTTTACAAACCAGATGAGAAAGTAAATTTTCACCTTGTACACAGGGCCAAATCCTCCTTCTCCAAGCAAATTCGATGAAGAAAAGTTAATGGTTGCTTCTTCTATCGTCTGAAAACCAAACAGACGCACATTGTGCTCACCTTTTCCCTGTTCATCTAAATCAATCACTGAAGAAAACCTTGTAGACTGACCTCCAACTGATCCACTCTGGTCCACAAGACTTCCCTGCCGTCTCATCTGTCTTCTATTGCAAACTGTCACATTCAATATTTGTTATCTACAGCTTGCTTGACAGAGGATATAATGAGCACAGGGAAAGCGAGGAAGCTCACCTTCCATTCTGCTCTTGTATTTCCACAGCAAAGCGAAGCCTCCCACTAGCAGCAAAACTGCCGACAACACAATGATTACAATGAAATATCCTTTTAATCCCTTCTTATGATCATCTGCAATAACAAAGGAATATAAACGTAAGGCATCAACAAAGCATGCTATAATGGTCATAAACATTTTAATTAGTTTGGCTTTAAGTTAGAAACATGGAAAACAAATTATAGTATTGTTGCGTGCTGGAAATGATCTTTAATAAACTCTTATAAATTAAATAAATAAACAGAAGAAGAAGAAGAAGATGATGATGATGACTCTTACCAAATTCCGATCCGGCGAGCCGCAGATAAAAATCATTCCCGCCACTGGAGAACAGGTGGATGTCGATCATATCCCTTCCCCATGTCAGGCATCCTATCCCTGTAACATAGCTGTAAGCTTTACAGGAGCAATTCGTCGAACAAGCCTCCTTACATTGGCTATCATTCGAAGGCCCCGAATCCCAATCCGACAAATCCGGCAGCTTCACCCCTTGCATTAAATAAAACCCGTCAGGCTCGCCAGCGCCACCGCCACCGCCGGCTTTGCCATTATTCCTCTCACACTGCAGCGGCGTCCTCCTCACGCACCGACCCGTCAAGTTGCCACCACCAAACTCGAAACCTTTCAGACAGCTACAATACGGCGAGTTTCCATCGAGGCTGTCTGTACAAGTCGCATTGTTTCCGCACCGGTTGTAAATCTCGCATTCGGTGATCGGCTGCGCCCAAAACTGATACCAATTCTTGCTGTCGTCAGCCCACACGAGGTGGCGCTCGACGCCGTCCGGCATGAGAACGTAGCGGTGAGAGCTGTTGAACTGCGTGTAGTAGAAATACATCTTGTTCTCTTGTTGAAAGTTGCTCAATTTGAACCCGTAGATGTAGGTCGGCACCATGTTCTGTATTCCTATGAACACCTGTCCGTTCCACCGTCCGGAGCGCCACCTAGGCTTGTTGCCTTCCCATATAAAGAACTGAGTCGACCGATCAGGGGCAATGCCGACGGTGAAGTTCCCCGGCGCCGGATCGTCGTCGCTGCGCCATGAGGTGAACACCTGATTAACGTTGGTGATGAGGTCGAGCCCGACCTTCATGCCGGGGAGGTAGGTGTCGCAAGGGTGATCAAAGCTCTGCCACGCGATGACGCCGGAGTTGTTGAGCATAAGGTTGCCGCTGTCGAACAGCTCCGCCGTGGATCTATTCGACTGCAAGGAGGTAACTTTTGATGACCAAAGGACAACCTTTTGGCCGTCCAGCACGACCAGGTTGCCATCATCCGCGATGGCGAGCGAACCCGACCTGTCAAGAACAGGGGACTCGCGATTGGCAACCCAGAGTACAGTGGAGGTGGAGAAGTTGTGATACCAAATACCGACGTAGCGATTGGTGGAGTTACCGGGACAAAAGAAACCGAGCTCAAAGATGCCGCCGGAGGAGACGAGAGTGGCGCCGTCGGGTAGGGGTTGGCCGGGTAAAAGCTGGGAGCTTGATTTCGCTTTTGTTGCTGGGAAGAAGAAGACGGAGATCAGGAAAGCTGAGAAGACGCCGGAGAAGTACATGATAAATTTTCTCAACCTTAAAAATGGAGCTTATTCCAACTTGCATGTATCTTCATAGCAAGCATCTATCAAGCTTTGCTATTTTTGAAATCTTAATTTCTAAGATTTATTGAATTCCATCTGAATTAAATCGTACTTAGTCAAAGAGCCCCTAAAATTTGTCGACTCATTCAAAGCATAGGTAGATGAAAGGTAAGGTTGTGCGCAAAACTAATTATAAATGCATTATTCGATGAGTAACAAGAAGAGAAATCTTACAGATAATACCATAGAAAGAGATCAACAAAGACTCAGAATTGTTAGACTTCCCATTCTCTGAATATTCACTCAACGTGCGCGTTGGCATCGCAGCCGACGAGTTTGAATCTCTGAACGCGCAATTACTAAAAAGGTGTACAAAGGATTTAGTGGTAAGTTTTGAAAAGGAAGGAGAGTATGGGATTAGGGGATTTGAGCTAATGAAGTCTTCTAAAAGTGTTTAAAATGGTCTATTTAGGATGGCTGTAGGTAGGGGTGTAAGTGAGCCTGGCTAATTCGTGAGCCGGCTCGAGTTTGACTCATTTATGGGCTCGCGAGATGAGCTTATCGAGCTCATGAGTCAAATTCGAGCTTATAATCAAGCTGGTATATTATACGAGCTGAAGTTCGAGCACAATCAGACTCGACTCACAAGCTCGTTGAGCTGACTCAATTAAAAAATAATATAAAAAAACCTAACATATTAAGAAGACCCCGAGACCGAGCAGGAAGACTGAAGAGGGCGGTGGACCTCGCGTCCAACATGAAGAGGGTTGTGGACCACAGGAACGATCGAGAGTCGTGAACTTGCGTTAGTTGTGGGAAGAGGGCCTTCAAGCCTTTTGGGCTAGACCTGTGCGTGTGCGGACCTGGGCGGCGTGCGTGTGCTTGATCGAAAGGACGAACCTCAAGACTGTGTGGATGCCTTGTGAGTTTGACAGCACGGAGCTGATCTAATCTTGTCGCATGTGCTCGATGGGACGGACCAGGAATTCGAAACACACGAGCAGGAAAATCAGACAAGTCGAGCTTGAGTTGCTCGACGAGCCAACCTGCAGTTCCACAAGTCGAGCTCTAGCTTGCCGCCTGAGCTCGATTCTAGTTCGAGTTGATGTTCTGACTGACAAGTCAAGCTCGATAAGACCACAATTAGATTCGACTCAACTCATTTACACTCCTAACTGTAGTTTTTATAAAATTGATTGTGAGTTGCTATAGAAAAAATACTTCCCTATTATGATTAAAAAAACAAATTTTCACTATAAAATTTTTTTAAGAACAATGACAAAGTAACAAGAAAATAGTATTTAAATGAATTTGTGATTGCAGTTTTAAAAAGTAAAGTAGACTGAAAGTTGTCTTAAATAGATCCTAAATTTTCAATGACTTGAACTAATCAAGATTTAATGAATAGTTTAGGTGAGACATTAGTGTATTTTTTTGTTCAATAAAAATTAATATAAAACATTTTTTTAGCTTAATTAAATCAACTCAAAATATATTTAAATGATGTGCCAAGGAGAATCAAATTTAAAAATACTTTTGAATTATTTTAAATTTATTATGAATTCAAAGGTTTAATAAGAGCTTATTCAAAAATAATTCTGTTTATTTAAATATATATAAAAACATATTGATATAAATTTTATATGATATGCATGAAAATTATTGAAATTGTTTTGAAATTTATGTTGTATATAAAATAAATAAATTATATTAATCTTAAAATAAACTATAACAGTTTTATGGGAAATTATTTAATTTATAGTATAAGATTATCCATTATATACTGATGAATTAGAACTAAGCTCACAGTTGTATGAGTTGGCCCCACCCACCTGGCGGCATCAGGAAATGGAAATTTTCGTGATGGTTCTTCGGATTCTTTGACTGTAATTTTTGTCACCACCCACAACCACATGACGGCTGTAGGAATAGAAATTTTCGAGATGGCTCTTCGGATTCTTTGACTGTAATTTTTGTCAAAGTCAATGGTTGTTAGATTTGAACTGTTTTCAAATATAGTATAAATTCTATGCTATTATTGTCGCCTGTCGTCGTCCACTATCATCCACCTCAAACTTTGGTTTGTGATGGCCAATGGCATCTCTCTGTCTCTAGACTTTATGGTATTTCTCACTCTATCCTGTCCATCCCTATTCTTCAAGATAATTCTGGCTGTGTTGAATGGACTGGTAGTGGCAAACCTTGTTTCAAAACTTTCAGGAAGTTATATTTTTTGGGTTGTGAGAAGGTTAACTGGGCTTCTTTCATCTGGCATAAGAAATCTGCTCTTAGATACTCTTCTTATGGTTGGCTTGCAGTTAATGATGATTTAAAAAACTGCGGATATTCTGAGGACACGCAATATTTTTAATCCGAGCCCAAATGAGTCCAAATCAAAGACCCGAAGCATTATTGAAAAGTTCAAACCATAATTTGAGTTACCAAACGGTTTCCAAACATGACGTGTTTATAGTCGAATCGAGCAGCTCGACAAGACGAATTCAACGAGCCTAAAATCGTCAAATTCCAACATCATTAAGACCTTCAAATGTCTGACGAACGATACACGATCAAGGGATTCAATATCGACCGTCCATCTAACCACTACACATTTGCCCCTGATCTATCATCTATTTACAGGCCATGTCATTTCAGAAATCTATAAATAGATCCCTCATTTCTCTTGAGGGGGGAGCCAAGCAAGAAGGAAGCAAGAAGAGGAGAATGATAGGAGGGAAGAAACTCTTCCTCGACCACCGCCGGAATTTGCCCGACTTCCACGGGATGCCGGAATTCAGTCTGACTTCCACAATGACGCCGGACTTCCACCCGACCTTCAAGGGACACCGGAATTCCGCCCGCCTCCAAGTGATGCCAGAATTCCGCCAAAACTCCAAGTGACGCCGGAGTTTCACCTGAACTTCAAGTGACGCCGGAGTTTCACCCGAATTCCAAGTGACGTCAGAGTTCTGCCCGAATATCATTTAACGTCGAAGTTCTCCTCAGCCTCCAACTGATGTCGAACTTCTACCCATGTCGGACCTCCGCCATCACCAAGTTTCTACCCTACGCCAAACTTCTGCCCGTTGTCGAACTTTTGCCAGACGTCCATCTGTTGCTGGATTTATGTCCATTGCTTGACTTCTACCTTACACAGTCCTTCTGACCTCCATCGCCCGCCGACTACGGTCATACTGACTTACGTCGCCCACCGACTATAGTACTTCCGTCGCCCACTGAATACGGTCCTCTTGGCTTACGCGCCCACCGACTATGGTCCTTCCAACCTCCGTTGCCAAACAATGGTCTTTATGACCTTTTCGCCCGCCGACTACGGTTCTTCTGACCTCGGTCACTAGACTATGGTCCTTCTGACTAAACAAATACGTCAATAATGATTCTTTGTATTTTCATCATGTAATGTACTCTATAACATGTACATCAAGCTAAAGTCTTCCCCCAAAGAAGGGCCTCATTTGTAATCAACTGCAATATTAGTAGATTCATTCAAATTGGGTTAAGCCCTGTGGTTTTCCCCCCTTTTCAGGGGTTTTTCACATAAAAATTTTGGTGTCTCATAAATGATAGACCCTCTCTTTTTATCGGTGTGTTGGATTTTTGTTCAACGCTAAAACATTAAACTTTATATTTTTCTACCGTCGCAAATACTCCAGGATGCAACAATAATATACATGTTTTCTATTATTTGTAATATAATTATTCATATGTCATCAAGAATTGACATGATGCAACATGCATCTCAATGTATATTTGAATTAAAAATTTGTGATTTTACATTCAGAAATATTTGAATTCTAATTTCAACAAATTTATAGTTGAAATGAATGTCTCAATGAGATGAATCTAACACCAATAAGAGTAGTTCAATCCGAGTTCAAATGAATCCAAATCTAGAACGTAAAGTGCATTATGAAATCATAAGACATTAAATGGAAAACCAAATAATCTCCAAATCTCAAGTGTTTATGATCAAATCGGGCATCTCAATGAGATAAATATGAATCACTTAATTCCAACATAATTAAGGCACTTAAATGATTAAAAAAAAAACCTATGATTGACTAAATCAATACATGCAATCATACAAATCTCAAGTGTTTTGTAAAATATTTTTTAGTATTAAAATTTTAAAAAATAGCAAAAAAATAATAATCAAAAGTTATCTCAAATGAAATCTAATTAAGAACTAAAAAATTCATAAAATAATGAGTAAAATATCTTTAAATTATCTTCTTAATTATCAAGAGCATATATAAACAAAGATGAATAATAGTATTGTTTCCTTTCATGCTTATCTATATCTAATTCTATTCAACAACACCATATTCTTAACCCCAATGGCTGCTTGTTGAAGCAGCAAAAATTTCTTGCTGAAGAAATAAAACTTCTTACTTCTTCATACATATGAATGTTAGGTAGAGAAGATTTGATATGAAACAAAGGACTAAACAAACGTAGTAAGTAATAACTCTCTGGAAGGAACTAGGAAGGTGAAAGAAAGATGATGGCACCATCATAAAGCACTAAATGAAACGTCAGAAGAGTACAATGCATTTAGCAACCTTTCTTTGCTGCTATTTTTGTTGCAGGCAATAGACATAATAACTAAACATTCCATTGATTATAAAACTTTCAATCAATCAAGATAAATGTTTCGTTTGGGACGGCTTTTTTACTGTTTTTTAAAGTAATTTTTTAATAAAAAATTAATTTTTTTTACTAAAAAACTACTTTAAAAAGCAATAAAAAAGTAATCCCAAACGAAGTAAAAGAAGTCAATGAATTGGTTAATCCAAATCATTTTTACATAATGAAAATATAGTATCCAAAGAAACATCATAGCATATTGAGCAAAACATCTTTAAATTAACAAAGAGAAATAACAACATTATTTCACTGAAACAACAGCTTATCTATCCTAACACCCAATTCTTACTACTATAAGAAACGAAGACATGCAATACTACTGGGCATTCCACATGCACAATCAATAGGAAAAACATGACCAGCAAAGGACACCATTGTTCGTTCAGAACAACATTTTGATATGACACTAGCAGAACCCTATAAGTCAGGAAGAATATTGTCCAAAATGCCTCTGGTCCTATAAACTGCAGC